CATTATTTCGTCAGAGAATATTATCATTGCCCTATTATGTCACTCATGTCCCTCGGGGAAACTAGATATATCAGTACCTATTATTTCACTATTCACATGAAGGCGCGTTCCCGGGGGCGCGCCTTCCATTATTTCGTCAGAGAATATTATCATTGCCCTATTATGTCACTCATGTCCCTCGGGGAATAACTTAAATTTAACTTCTTTTGAAAGTTCAACAAGTTAAGAATAACTTAAATTAAAACGTTATGTGAAGTTTGAATAAATTAGATAAAATGTTATGGATAAATTGAATAAATGTGAAGTGATAAGTTGATTGTGACATTGAAATTGTATGGAATGAGCATTGAAATGTGACATTGAATAAATTGCCAATTCACCCCCCCTCTTGGTTGATTACGTCGATCGATGAACTCAACATAAGTTGATTTTAATGTATACGTTTTAATATATATGTTAATGATAAAATCATATGTATGGATAAATTTAATTTCAATTTAAGTATTGTGAACTATAATTGGAATATAACTTTTAATTTCGAATACAATTGGAATATTAAGTTGAAATTTAATGTTAAATTTCGAATACTATAATTTATATTTTAAATTTAAATTTGAATAATATTATTTTTATTTTTATTTTAAATTTCGAATAATATAATTTGTATTTTAAAAACATTTATCAAACATTTAATGTTAAATGTGAATAAAAAATAACATTAAAAAATATGTATGTAACAACCATGAAACATTTAAATAACATAACCAAATTACATAAAATTCTGAAATTTAATTATTTAAATAACATTAAATATAACTGGATCACCGATGTCGTCTTCTCGAATGAGTTCCACATGGCGGTGGTTGCCTATTTCGTGGAGGATTTCTTCGTGGAACTTGTTCTTCAGTCTCCTCATCTTCACTATCATCATCAGCAGCATTTTCTTCATTTGGTGTAGATGACGCTGAAGGGGCTGAAGGGCCTGTATAAAATAACGACCCTGGAGGAGTGCTAGTAACAATCCCACCGCTCCCCGGGAACTGTGGAAACTGTGGAAACATTGGCATCGATGTATGTGATCCAGATGAAGATTGAGGTGTCTGCGGAGAAGCACCACCAGCCAAATAAGATGCATATGAAGCATATGCTGGATCATTAAACATAGTCGTATATGCACCTCCATATGGTATAAAACCCTGCGGGCTAGGCATGTAACCTGGCGGGCTAGGCATGTAACCTGGCGGGCTAGGAATGTAACCCTGCGGGCTCGGAATGTAACCCTGCGGAGATGGCATATAAACTGGTGGGCTTGGCATATGAAGTGGAGGGCTGGGCATGTACCCCTGCGGCATCGACGAATAAGGATGTTGTGGTGGGACTGATGCAGAACCGGTAGCGCCTTCTCTCCGTCCACGCGTCGGGGGACGATGATATTGAGACGGTTGACGTCTTTCTCGGCGCCTAGGAATGTTAACCCCTCGTGCTTCCGCCGAAAGTAGAAACGGCTTCACATTTTCATTAAACCAGTCCATATAGTTATCCGTAACCATATGACCAGTTTCAGCGTAATATTGTCGATGGGCCAACAGTGTATATCGGTTCTCCCAAAGCGCAATCCAATCTTTGTGTCTCACCACCCAGTTAACATCTTTCTTTCCCCGTCTATCTATGTTATGCACGTCGTCTAAATTTCTAGGAGCTCCAGGAATATATTGCGTACAACCATACTGACGGAGCACGCGATCAACTGGATGCCACTCAATAATAGCATAACATATAAGAGGTATAACCGATATCCATACCTCTAATGACTCACTAAGGTGGGGTGGGATGCAAGCTTTCACTTCATCGCTCGCATAAGGTATCCACTGAAACTGAAATATAAATATACAATTCAAATAAATAAAATATTCTAATTATATCTAATATTTTAAATTAAAATATTAATAATTAAACAAATTTAAAAACATATCTCAGACCCAGCTTTCGTATCAATAAGTAAACGAATTTCCTCTAACCAGTAGGTATACTTTTATGGTCCTTTCTTTTCATCGACCACCTATGAAATATAATATAAACTAAATATCACCCTATTTAATTGAAAATATTTAAATCAAAATTTAGTTCGAAAATTACCTCAACAATAAGGGGAATACGTATGGTTCATTCACGATCGGGCATAAGAAAGGCATGCGGAACCACGCCCATGATTGTAGAAGCAGAAGACATCCACCGATAGCAGTTTTCTTATAATTCGTCGCCCGACACATTTCTCTAAAGAGAAATGCCAAAACTGCAGCACCCCAACTATATCTTCCAAATTCATCAAAATCGATCAGATGCCGCAACCACATACAATGCACCTGGTTGCGAGATTTGTCGGGCATCAATATTCCTCCAATTATTCGTAGAATATATGCCCGAGCACATGCCTTTGCTTGATCCTCTAAAGCATTTTCATTTAAAACCTCAAAATTAGCTTTCAACCAAGATAAAGCTATTCTACCTCCATTAAACTCTGGCGGAGCAGCTCCAAGATAATCAATGCACATTGATTGCCAATCACCATCCGCCATGCCACACATCATATTTCCGTCGACGGGAAGCCCCAGATGTATAGAGACATCCTCCAATGTAATTGTTGCCTCTCCACATGGAAGGTGAAAAGTGTGTGTCTCGGGCCTCCACCTCTCAATCAGTGCAGAAATTAGGACAGGTTCGAGTTTGCAACCGCCTATAATTGTTGCAATATACCCGAACCCAGCAGAAGCCAAATATGGCAAAATACGTTCCGGTGTCGGTATACGTGGATTTTTAATAAAAGTTTCTAAAATACGATCAGCATCCTAAATAATATATATTATAAAAAGTAAAAATTAATATAAATTCATAATAACTTTAAAATAAATTTAAATATTAACATTAATTATAAAAAAATATTACCATATCGCTAAAATGTCTGGAGATATGATCAATATCCAATCGCAACAGCATTTCGTTTTCCATTATAACTGTAGACAAAACAATATAATTAGCAAAAAAATTAATAATTCTAAATAAATAAAATTATATAAATATTATTTTAATAAAAAATAATATTTACATAAATATATTAATATAAAAAATAATAACTATTTAAAAAATACTAACATAAAAATAAATTTCTTACCACTAATAACAAATTTAAAACTCAAATAGTTGGAGAATTTGAGTTATATAAGAGAGGAGAAGATGATTTTGGTGTGAAGAATGAGTGAGGGTTGAGGGAGTTTATATAGGGGAGGAGGAGGGGTAGTTAGGAAAAACGGATGGGGGCATTTATGACATTTAATGGAAGGCGCGTCCCCGGGATGCGCCTTCCACACGTGTCTGCTGATATGGCAAAGGCGCGTCCCCGGGGACGCGCCTTTCACACGTGGCATCCAACTCAGCGAAAACACGGGTAAAGCGCGTCCCCGGGGACGCGCCTTTGCTAACTCAACAGAAAGGGTGCTAGTTTTGGAAATATTGATCGAACGGTGTTAGAAAAGTAAAATTAAAAACAAACGATGTCAGTTATGTAATTTAGCCCCGAATTTGGCCTTGCTGCTTTGTTGAAAATGAATAGAATTTTAATGAATAAACATTTCTTCATTTATTAAACTGTATATATTATTATGAAATATGGGCTAATCCAATGTGGTCCGACCTTTAGACTCCTTCCTATTTTAGACAGTCGATGATACCAAGCTAGGCCCAAATTAATTAGCTGCCCAACTTTTATGTTCTTTTAGACTCATCAAATGCCTAGCCGCAGTCCCTCTCAATTCCTTGATAGTTCTGTCCCTACACGTAATTGATATTATGTTTTAGGGTTTTCTGGATTTTTCGTTGTTTTTCAATTATGTTGATGGTAAAATGTGATTTGTGATCGATATGAGTAATTTCATCACTTTTGATTCGGGTTCAAAATCACAATTGATTGTTTTGTGAAGAAGATGGAGAATGGTGAACATAAAAAGATGATCCATAAGAAAAGAGAATTCCTTTTTAAATCTTGCATGATGACTTATATATTGGCTTTAGTACTAGTGTCAAGTTTAAGGTCATTATGACTATACGAAACCAGACTAGAGTCTTCTGAGAACTCTAAAGTTCTCTTAGCAACTTCTACGAAACCAGAAGCTTAGACATTGTTGATGCTGAAGGAGTGGTTGTGGAGATGCAGCCTAGTACGACATGCGGAGAAAAAAATCTGAAGGAGGTATAATAGATTATATTCAGATCATTAATCTTAGTCTGAAAATTTTCGAACTCTTCTGTTGTTCTCGAGCTCTCTCAAATACTGTTTTATAAGATTCTCTGTCTGTGTTTGGCCACGTCATTTGGAATGAAAGAAAAGGGAACTTCCATTGCTGCTTCTAGGAATGTTCTATTGAAAAATAGCAAATATCCTTCAACCAACTTCTCGTATATGACATGGTTTGTGTCGGTATAGTAGCTGTTCCAGCCTAGATTTCGACCGTGAATTAACGATCATTATCTTCTGACAAGCCAGTGGCCCAATCATGAAACATGTAAAGAATAATCATTGATTAAATGGGGCCTAATCCAGCATATTAATGTCATATTAGTTTTCGACATTGGACCTGTTTATTGCCTTCATTTGCAATAAAGATAGGAATCCTAGCATTTGAATAGTATAATGATTAGTGCCAACAAAGCTGCCCAATATTTAAAAGATGCTTGTCTGTTTCTTTACTAACATTAAGATACTAATGATTGGAGCCAAAAACATCATACTAACTACAATAATGTAATACATCAAAGTTACTGGCCATGAGGCCAGACTCGTCCTACCGATATCTCGCCTCGAACAAACAATAAGATTTCGAATTTCAGCTTTATAAATGAGAAAAACAATAATAAAAAGTTTATTACATCAGATAAAATTCCTGACGGAAAAGTTTTTACTTCTACGACAAACCTAAAATCAAAAGAAATGCAAAGAATGTGCGGGGTCAGGGAACATAATCATGCTCAATTGCCGCCTGTGTTCTGATCATTGATGCAAAAGGCATTTTATGACCTCCCCTAACCCAAAACGTATCCAATGCCACTGATGAATCGGATTCCTCCTCCATATCTTTGATCTTCCTCTCTCTCCACCATTTCAACGTCACCACTCCCACTGAAACCAACACCGCTAGCCCAACAACTCCGATGGCGAACCCTATCACCCACCATTTCCAAACCCTACCTTTCTCTTCCGGCTTCGGCTTCGGCGTCGGTATCGCGACGCAAAAATGCCCTGCCTTTTCGGTCACGCAAACATTTCTCTTTGTCATGTTCTTAAACTCGACAGACCCGTTCTTTCCGAATCCGACACATTTAAGTCCTGTAACATTTTTCTCCTTCGTCTCTAAATATGGAAACCGGATCGAAATTGGCTTCCCGGTGACGATCAATGTCAAATTTCGATCCGTTAACGTCGTTAAATCAGTGTTGTCGTACAGCTTGAAGCCGACAACGGGAGAGACAAACGAATAACCGGGGACCTGATAATATTCCGAAGACCAATTTCCCAGGTTATCGTAGACTATAGCTAATCTTTTCACGTAAGGCAATGTTCTAACACTAGGTGGGATTTTAACATATTTAGAATCGACTCCTCTGCCCCATAAACTCCCGCTACGTAGTCTATTAACAGAAACCTCCATGCCGGAGAAATTAGAAGGAAGTGAAACTCGGCGTAATATACCTGTACGACGATGATCATTCAATGTCTGATTCGCGTAATATCGAAACAAAGCGTCTAAAGCCTTCGGATCATAGCTACGCGAGCCGCCACCATCACCGCAAACGATTAATGATAACAACGAAGAGAAAACCATGAAGATGATGAACCGACTTGGATCAGACCCCATCAAGACTGCTCCATCAAGCTTCGATGTTCAAGCTTTCCCAAAAAGCAAATCGAGACCATCAACGGAGAGCTTGCGAAAGAGTGGGAGATGTAATTAAAACAGAAACAATAGAAGAAAGGGTGTCTCGAGTTCCATTAAAATAGAAATATTATATGAATGTATTGTGATGAAAAAGGAAAGAAAGAAAGACAGCGGTGGCAACGAGGAGGGTGAATGAATTGAAAGGAAGAAGAGCTCCGTAGGGTAAGAGGACGAAAATGTGTACTTACACACACCTCCATCCAAATTTAGGCTTTGGTTATTTTTAGGCAAATGGACTTTGGAACTACATCTTCCTCACCATTTAATTTTTTTTTGAATAATTTAACTTTTTATAATAATTAAAAATGTAAAACCAAAACTACAATACACATATTAAATCTATAATTTTCGTACAGTATTGGTATTAGTAAAAGAATTTTTGACCCAAACTTTAATAAAAAAAAGTTGGTATAAAAACAATTTGCAAATATAACATATATTGAAAAGAGGTTCGGTTTTACTAGGTTTGGGAGGGTGGACGGCTGCTATTTTTGCAAAGCATTGCGAATGAAAGGGCGACAAGTGGCAACGGCATTTACTAGGTCAACGTTCGAAAATATCAAAAAAAGTTTTGTTGGTCCCACAAGTCAACTGGCTTCTGTCATTCACAACGCATTGTTAAAGCGGTGCACCGGCGTTCCACTTGAATTTTATTTACTTATTTATTATCTATAATACCAGCAAATAACATCCATACAATAAGAATTAGTTAAAAAAATGTTAAATCGGACTTGATATACATTAAACTTAAGTTCGCATAATTTAGAGTTGACCCAACTTGTGTACCTGTATATAATACTTGCATGGAATCTTGAACGAGGATTTTCAATTTCGGATAACTAAAAACTATTATTTAAGGCTTTGTATCACATTTTGATTTAAAGAAATTTGATGTTTAAAAACAAAAGATCTTAACCCATTGTTCTACTTGGTACATATCGAATTTTGCTCGGGTCAAAGTGAACCACAACGGGTTAGTGCATCTAAAGTAAATGGATCGAAGCTGCATATGGTTAGTGCCTGATTGTTAACTCGGCCCTAAGATGGAGAACACCATTTATGAAGTAAAGGCCGTCTTCATCCATGAACGATGTCCAAGGTATGGCGAACAGATTCCGATAGCCAACAGCCTTGCCACCTGTGAATGTGTAGTTTCCCTTGTATTTGCTAACGAACTCCGATGCTGGCTTACACCTGGCTGCAAATTCGTAATCTACTGAAAAACTAATTGAACCCTTTTCCTGCATTCCCAAAAACAACCCGAAGCAGTGGATTGAGCTATGCTGGTCCATGTTACAATGAGCTGACAGGAAGAAACCTTGTCCGCCCAGGTGGAATGCCTGCGAATAAACTCGTCCGGATGGGAACAAATGTGCACATTCCTCCCTCTTCAAGTCCAGGTACACAACACACTGTCGGTGGGGAAGTTCAAACTCCACCACTTTAACAGGTCGATATTTGTAAGCTCGCTCAATAAAGTGACGGTTCATGGTGGCAGACTCAGCAGCCAAGCTTCGTTGTCTATGTGGGGCTTCAGCCTTGAAAAAGAGGGCCTCAAGCACAAGCTTTGATGAACATTCATGATCAAAATCATTACATGTTAATACCTTCTTAAGCTTCCTGCAAGTCATATAAGGGAAGCGAATAAAGCGTGCAAGGAGTGAACCAAGAACCTCCCTTCGCTCTTCCAGTTCTGGATACTGAGCCCTGGCCCACTTCAAAACGAAGTCATACACAGCATCTTCAGAAGCAATTTGCAGATCATCACTGGACAAAATTGCCTCAATCCCAGCTAGCGGCAAAGCCATTACCTCTTCTTGGAACCTGGTAAAAAGTGTGGCAAAATCATATATAAGCCCTCTAAATATGCAGAATTGTCATTTTGACAACAAAGAGAGAGATAAGTAAATTCACTGTTCAGACTGTTATGTTGCCATTAAACTTTTTTATATTTTACTTTTGAAAAGAACATTAAAGCTTATTGTCCATTGTTGAAGATGGCCAATTTCAAAATATAAGATCAGAATAGCTCAAAAAAGAACTGCTAGGACTATGTAAAGATCTTATTGAAGTCTTAAGGTTTTTGTCCTACATGCAAGGCTATAATAAACTACCAACTCATGTAAAAAAAATGAAGCGTGAAGAACAGGAGCTTACTTGGTAATGTCCTTGTAACGCGAAGCAAGATACTGTTTAGCAGCATCAGTCAAAGGCTGGACAGCTTCGCCCATTAAAACACTCGATGGAAGATCCAAATAGAGCAGAGCTGACTCTGGTGTCATAGGCAAATTGCGCAATAGCCGGCTGCAATATCTCATGCAAGAGGCAACTTCAAATTTATCAGCAGCCATCAGCACATCAAGCAAGGCAGGAGCTCTGGTGGAAGATAAGGTGTTGCTATACATAAAATTCAAAAGTTCCATGAAGGCAGCTTCCTCTGTACATCGAAGTAACGTAAAAATTGTCATTTCAAATTTTCCAGTGAAACATATTTGAATGATTAACATAACCAAGAACAAAAAAATGAAGACTATGTATACCAAAGGCGCCAATTCTTAAGGTTACATGCCGTTGCTCCGACTCTCTCATCCCATTTGAGAAAAGCTACAGTTAGTGAATAAACAATTAAACGTATAAGCAATTACCTATAAAGCGAAGGCTCACAAATATTCTTAAAAGCTATATTTACATTATAGAAACACTATATTTTTCCACTCTCATTTAAAAATCTATTACTATTAATTACAAATCTTACCTTGTAGAAGAATGGGCTTTTAGCAGCTAAAATGGGAGAGCTGATATGCAAAGTTTTAACTCTCAAAACCGTAGAACAATCCATGTTCCAAATTGATTCATAACTATTTGCATCCTCGTCACCTACAAAAGTTCAAGATCAAAATGCTGACTCCACATTTGAAACAACAAGAGCGAGGGATATGCAATCATGGCACAAGGAGTACAATTCAAAGAGATCAGCTAAAATCATCTGTTAATTATACTATTTAAGGGGGAAAAAAAAGAAAAAAACAAAATCCTCTGTTAATCATACTACTTTGGAATAGAGAAAATTACTTCACGTTTAGTAATACAAATTCTGCATGTCCATAAGTTTCTAAAGTTGTGTTTTGAGTCATTGTAATTCAGTAAAAATTACAAGTACTAGCAAGGTTTTTGGTAACCATGTTCAAGTGAAAGTTCCCAGAGTTTTAAGCATAAAAACAAATATAAGCAGTAAATGAATCATATTGTATGTTTTCAGAACAAGATCAAAACCTGATTGTGTTTCTTCAACCATTGCCACTGCCTCCTCATCCTGATTTTCACAGCCCACAAAATCATTCATATCAGGCTGATTGTCCTTTAAAACCTGCTCCTCGGGACATAAACTAAGATCCAAAGCTACAAAAAAGAAGAAAGAAAGATAAATGATAAAAGGGTTAAAAACTAGTCTACATCATAAAACAGACTTCCTCCATGTCCAAGACATATAGCCGCAAAGATTAACCATAAATATGCATGGAACACTGAATCAGGATAAAAACAAGAGACACAAAAGATCATGAACCAGGTGATTGAAACCCAACCCTTTGAATTCCCTGTCCCAGCCAGAAAAGCTATCTTCGGCACAATTCTTTTTATTCACAAAATTTTCAAAGTAGAAATTTCTTGATAAATGTTTCCTCCAAACTTCCAATTTCCCATAACTAGTAGAGCCCTAACTTTATTTTTTACTCCCTCTCTCAACTTAAGTTCACCAAGAATCGCTTAGGCCCGAAGTAAGATGCAATTTATTTTCCTTTTTTGAATGTTGTCTCATTTTCTCAGCTAACTAAACTCTAGCAACGAGGAACATTTAGAAAGAAAGAAGCAAGGGGAAACATAAGCAAACCATTTTCCTTCTTGAAATCCTCCCGGCGCCTCTTGCGATGGCTAGCCCAATCGGCGATGCTGGTGCAACCCTCACCGTCGGGAGCGCAGTCTGAGGGTGGACCCATAATCTCAATCTTCAGAAGTCGGTCAGAGAAATTACTATCATTGAAAGCGAATCCAAAATCATCGCCGGAGACGGAGGCACCACGCATGTAATCGGAGTCCATCTCATTTATCGGGTCGAACAGATCCGAATTCAATTGATCTATCATTACAAACCCTGAACCTAAACCCTTTATTTTCTGCTCCCCTTTTATCTTTAAAAAGAAGTAACTGAAAATACAAGATACTCGAACACGTAGCTGAACAAAAGGAAACCCTAGAGAATGAAGAGCTGGCGCAGCCTAAATGAAGGTAGGAGATTGAAAATTTATTAAGTTGCTGCAACTGGTAAATTACCAAGAATCCAATATACAAACGAATTAGCTTTGCAGGCTTTTTGAACTAAATTTTGTTTGGATTATTTTGTTTCTTTTTTTATTTATTATTTTTAGACTTGATATAAAAACAAGTGTTAAAATTATATAATTGTCTCCTATTAAATGTCTAAATTATTTTTCGATTAATTAATGTATATAATATTATAAATATATTATTTTAAGTTTTTTCATAAAATACTCAAAATTTATATATATAAAAAAAACCTATGCAGCCCCAAGCACCGACGAACAATTCAGTTTCCCACCGACTACGTCTTCGTCGGCACAAACAAGTCACACAACCCTAAAGTGAACGAGCGTTTTCTTTGTCTAAATCGAAGACATTGCACCTGTAATGGAAATGTTTTCACCGCCACAGACGAAACTTTGAAGACCCTCGATCCGGTGTCACTTCAACTACTATCAATACGTGGCTGGTTCCTTTGAAAGTTTTTGGTGCTACGACTATCACCAGTAAGTTGCGTTAGATAAACATTGAGATGAAAATCAGTTGTCTGCACTGCTGCCGAGTCATCGGAATTATCCACCAAGAAAATTTGTGCAATTTCTGTGGAGAGGAAGATCCTTGGAGTGGGGGCGGGGGGTGTATATGATCGGCATTAGAGACAATAATGTGTGACAGCGACGATAGTCGGAAATGATATGGAGATTTCAGAATTAGGGATTAAAGAGGTTTAAGGTGTTTTTAGAATTTTAGAAATATTTGGGGTTTTTGAAAAACGAGAATAATTTTAAGTTTTTCTTAAATAAAACTTTTAAAATTTTATAAATATGTTAAGTGTTGCATTTTGAATGATTGCCGAATTTTTTTAATAACAATTATGATGTAGAATTTTAAATAAAAATATTTGTAACGTTAGTCACCTATATTGATTGAGAAAAAACTTAAAACACTTGTATGAAAAAATATATAATTTAAATATTTATTTTTATATTAAGCCTTATTTTAATTTTATATTTTTGGATTTTAACAAAAACATTATGGGTAAACTGCTTTTTTTTTCCACTCAATTTTGTCTGTGTTCTAGTATTTACGGCTTAAATTTTAATTTCATCACTAAACAATTCTTTTATTTTATCATTCACACGTTAAGTGTCTAACGTCAACATTAAAATATAGAGTTTTATATTTTTTTATTACTCAAAAATTTTAAAAATTTCAACATTTTTTTCTCTTGATCAAAGTCCTTATTCAGAATCGTTTATTTGTCATAAAAAATCGTATACGGTATACGTGGTAGTTAGTATCAAAACATATCCTTTTTTTTACTCTTTTTCTTCTTCTCGGTTTGGTTTTTACCAAAATTAATGAAACTTAAATTAAAATTTTGACTTGTATTGGTATAATCTATAATCTCACCATCATATTGGTATAGAATCCAGGCATATTATTTTTCTTCCTCTTGATCTTCTCATTATTCAAATTTAAAAGAATATACGTTGACGACGATGAATCAAAGGGAGTCCAAAAATCTAGATTCGAGAGTAAAGTTTAAACGATTTGTTTTGCATAAATTTACTTGAAAAAAATTAAACAACGTTAAAATCTTAACAGATTCATAAACAAAACAAACAAAATTTAAAAAATTAATGATCAAATTAAAAAAAAAATTAAGTGACTAAATTGAATGACCCAAAAATAATACACAATATGTATTTAAGAAGTTATGCATTTATAGAGTAGATTTGGAAATAGCCAATGAGAGGAATTAAATCGGTCAGTTGTGGTGAGCTCTTACGTATTTTTGTTTATTAAAGTAATCTCACCTCCTTTTTGTAAATGGTGTTTAGTCTTGGTTGGCATGTAATAAAAATATATATTAGTTTAAATTAAGAAATAAGGGTCTGATTAAGGAATGTGATTAAAAACAGATTTTGTGTATCAACTTGTCGCCTTTAATTAGTATGAATGATTAACATTACCTAAATAGTGATCAATGGTTTCAGAAATGGATATAATTGGTATAATCATGCTTTTAATCCCTTTATTCCAATTTACATGATTTAGTCTCTTGATTTAGGGTAGAATTTATAAGTACATTATGACACACCTTTTTGTTATTTGTTGTTCTTGTTAAAGTGAAAACATAATTTTAAAAATCAATACTCCCTTCATAGATAAATAATAATTGTGAGATATATCTAAACTTCATCAATCATTATTAACAATTATTTTTAGATTATCACACTATAACCTTTTTTTTAGTTGTTTATTGATTTCTCGGAGTTTTATTATGATTAATTCGAATCGACTCGTTTTGCATATCTAGTTTTAGTGGGTGAATCTTCCGGTAAACATTTTCTGCATACGTAAGACTTGAAATTCGAGACATATCTAAACGATACCAAATTAATTTCACTTGAACCAACCCCATTAGTATCATCGCACTATAAATTTAAAGCCAGAAGGATATTCTCTTTCCCTAGTAAAAGATTTATTTTTTCTCTTTTATCTTTAAGTTTATGGGCCCGAACTCTTTCCCTCAAATATTAGACTAACCATCCTGGCTCTCAAAAGGCCCAACATGAACACATTGACACTATTATGATTGAATATCAATATATCATAGCTCAGCTTGAATCGATTTTTTGATTTATTTAAATATGATATAAATATAATATTTTTTATCAATCATTTGATCAAACTCGTGTTTAGGAATGATTTGTGACTCGAAATCCAATTTGATTTTTAAGATAAAACCCACACCTAACTCGATCTAACTTAAGACAAATATAAATATAACTTTTATTGGGTAAAATAGGAATGTAATTGAAAAAATATAGATGGGAAATTATAGCAATTATATCTGAATATATTAAGGTTAATTATAATATTATTTTCAGATTGAATACTTCTCACCTTAAAACTAAATCTTACTGGATTCGAACTCTCCTTTAAAAAAAACTTCACTTGACATGAACCTAAATTTCCAACAACAAAAAATTGAACCCCGTAAGATTGAGTAAAAAATTATAGAATTCACATTAAATATTTATCGCTAGTTATAAATAATTACTCTACATCCAAATCGAAATCAAAATAGTTGAACACGTATAATCCCTACAAACTACATTTCATATATTAAATCTCAATATAAATATTAAATTTATACGTGCAAATTATCATTAAATCAACAATTTTTGACAACATGTGAATTTATTATTAATTTAATATAATGTATTGATATGAATAAAAAAAATGTCTGTCCCTTTTTCCCATATGTATGGGGTAAGGAGGAGGTAAGATAGTAAGCTACCCTCAACACCAGATTGAGAGCAGCTTCCGTAAGAGACCTCCGAATTATGAAATGTCCTCCGTGCAAATTATCACTGGATATCAGCTTGTTATCAAACACGTAAATTGGAAAAACCTTTCAAATTAGACTATTGTAGGCATGCGGGTGTTTGGCCGCCGACTTGTAGGTTGAGTGAATCCACCCAAGTTGATAATAATTAAAACAAATAGTTAACTAATAATTAATAGTGAAAAATAATTATAAAGCATTTACATTTATGTAGATATAGGGACATACAGTAAATGCATATGGCAAACTAATTGGAATGTTTTTACATTACCATAAATTGATTTCTCAGAACCTAAATCCTACATAATAGAAATGAACTCAGTTGAGCTCAGGTGAGAGATTCATCTGCTTTAAATATGTCACTGATGAACTCCTGGAAGCGAGACGAATATGCTTTGGGATGTACGGCCGCAATCATCCTCCGGTCGAACTGCAACGATTTGTAAGCATGCTCGATCCGCTTTATCACGCTGTAGTTTTGGAAGAAATCCACTATTCCGAAACACAGAAGAACATCATAGCACTCTATCACCGTGAAATTTTGACATGGTAATGCACTTCCCGATCCGTCCTTCAATATTCGAACGCCACGCGCAGACAGTTCTTCACCGAACTTGCGAGTATCGCTCCAAAACCTCACCATGGCGCAAAAACCTCAGAAACTAACTTCGGATTCATACGGTATCGACAAAGATCTTTACCTTTTATTTTCGAGCCACTGACCGTCGAAACTCAGTTCTGAAGCATCACAATTCGGACAAGAGTCACCGGAGACTATGCCCATGATGCCGGTGGTACTACATTTGTTAGTTGAATCTGTAAGGCAGGGAAAAATTAAGGGGCAACTGGCAAGACAGAGACTGCAAGTAAAATTCGATGCATCGATGTATTTTCTATGCGTCACCTTGATAAGAAGCGAGGGAGGGTCTATGTGAGGCCAAATCACTTTGATGCAGCTCGACATTGAAAACTATCATGCCATTGCTAGAGCATCTGCTGTTAACACAACCTGCAGAAAGACAATTAAAGGAACATACAGTTTGTGTTTCAAATAATGTCATATCTTTTGCTGTTGAAGTTTATGAGAAAATTCACCTTTTGGAGATCCCTTTACGTGCAACCCAAGCATCAGACTGTAATCCATGATGCCTGTGGCCTCCAAGAAAGCACAATCATGTTGGATTTGCCTAACGAAATAAAATCGCATAATTAATCGATAAAGAAATCGGTAAGTTTTTTTCCCCGATCGTGTTACAATTTGTCATGGGTCTTAGTTCTTACTTCAAAAGCCTTTGTCGGACCAGCGGTTCGACGTAAAAGAGAAAATCAAGATCAGACTCTTTATGCAGAATTTTCTCTCGGTACCGCATTTTTTTCGAGTTTTCGACCTTGTAAAGAGCCTTTCAGGTCGTAACAACTATGCATCAACAAATCAGACTTAAATATGTTCGCCACAACCACAAAATAAGCCTTTGTTCCTCCAAATGGTGTCACCGCATGAACTCCGTACAGTTTGTTCAATACCGTGTTTCGGAACCTTTTGTGATGGCTATAATAGCCCGGAAGCATTTCCAAGAGGATCTGCACATGATGCAGAACTTAGGGAACATTGGGGAATATATGCTGATATAGATACTGGAAATTTGTTACCGGTTTTCATTACCTTGACTTCGGATTTCTTTAGTGTCTTAATAGCAAACCGGGTGTCGTTGGAGAAAAGGAACATGTTTCCAGGTCTCGACGTGGAAGTGACCTTGCGAATGGTTTCTTCACTGCAGACCAACACCATGTAGTCATCGTTGTCGATGTTATCGAGCTCTTGTATAAGTCTAGAACAAATGAAAGCTCAGGTGTCGGTATATCGATTAAAGACAATATGAAACAGGATGATTAAAAAACAAAACCTGAAAGCTTTCGGACAGTAATCTTTCCATTCAAAGCCAGTGACTGCTCCGGGTGGAAGATTATTGCAATTTTTTCTGGAAGACCATTGAATCCAATTATTTTGTGCATTTAATAAGTCCGCCGCATAAAGCTCATCGTCGGAAAACGCCATGTACTCCAAATTCCACTCTGCAAAATTTCTCATTACATTAGAAAACAAATGAAAATTTCAAATGATTACAATTCATGATTTGCTATGATTTTTATTGGTCGAACAGATGAATTGGATTTTACCTTTGTAAGAGGGAATCTGAGATTTCTTTCGAGTCAGATAATCTAATTACAAGAACTACAATCTGCTTTGGAATTCCCGTAATTGGTTTCTAATTGTGTTGATTAACAAAATTGAAGGGAATTGGCCGGTTGAGAGAAAATTCCCTCCAGTTTTCGCGCCAAACAAGTAACCGTCGCTAAAAACCAAAAAAAAAAAAAAAGTTTGAAGTTTGAGATAAATTGTTATTGTTGGAAGAGACGATCACAAATTTCAAATATAGAGGGATAAAACAAATATGGGAAAAAACGGTCCAACATTTATTGATAACGATATTCGAGTTTTAACGTAAATGACACAGTAGAGTAGGGATCAAGGCAAACAATAGAACTTGTCAATTTCACTTTCATCTCCACCCCTCCATCATGTCAGAACTTCAGTGAGGGAGGTCGCCCACATCATTGTTTAGACTGATATAGTGAAGTTGTGAGATGTCCGGTTCAGTGAGATTGACAGATATGCAAATAGGTAGGATTACAGATATGCAAGTCGCTTCTAGTATCATAGTCCATGCCAATTGGGACTCTGAATGCAGGGGCAGTTGGGAGATAAGCCAAGATTCGTTCCAGGGTAGGATTAAGTCCGCAGACACCACAGTCGCCATCTTCATCGTTATTATATTTGGTGGTTTATTCATTTTAGTAAATATACTTTCCCAACCAAAACAAGTTAGCCAATCAATCCACACGAGCCGTTGGTTGAAAACTCACACATAGGATAAAATAATTTACGATTCATTGTCGTTCCATCTCATTTGGATTAATTTGACTAAAAAGAAAAAAGATTCATCTTATATTGAAAAATCTTTAGAAACTCAAGGGTTACAAGTCAAACTTTCAAATTCTATTTAATATACAAAGCGATGCTCAGCTCGTAAGAAACACGGCCAAAAACACAGCAAAAATGGATCTTTCTCACCTCAATCTTATCAAGCGAATCTTGACTGCTCATTCATGGTTTTCCCTTCATTAAAGCTCGTAGGACTGTAAATGAAGGGACTGAGACAACCAGTCTTCGACAACCCCAATCCACACATTCCATCTTCTGATGAAGCCCTCAGGTGCTTCGCTTTTTCCACTTCCCGAACTAACCCATTCCATTCCCTCAGCGTCGTCGATGCCGGAGACGATGACGAAGTCGTCATGGAATGGCCATCGTCCGATTGATCATCACATTCGCGCCACAATTTCTCGCCGGGGAGTGTAGACTTTGACTTCTTCATGCCACGGTGTTTCCTCGAATTTTCGCTCTCCCGGATCAGGTCACGGAAACCGATGGCGGAGACGCCGGCCATGTCGGGGACATCGGCCGTGTCAAGAACGGTAATCCCAATGTTGAGAACACCTTGGAACCTACCAGAAGGTCGGCGAACTTGAACTGCAGTGAAAGAAGGGGGATGGTGCATCATCACGGCGTTGTCGAAGGAGGCGGAACCGGAGCGAAGCGAGTTACCGACGAGCAACCTGACGGTTCCTAGTGAGGAATCGCGGAGGACGCCGATGGCGAAGATTTCTACGGAAACGCCGGATGTGTCTCTAGAAAGGAAATTGGAGGAAACCTTGAAGAGGAATTTGTCGTTCCAGGTAGGGTTTCCACCGCCTATACGGTCCACGCAAGTACGGAGCTTGTGGGAGGGATCGATCCATGCAAGGGCGTAGGTTTGCATGCGGCGGAGTTGACTGGATGGTTCTTTAAGTCCTTGTGCGGAGATTAAGGTTATTTCCAACACGTAACGATGATCTTTCTCCATTTACCCAGTTCTCCACACACACAGAGGCCCCTTGGATAGCTCTCTTTCTCGATCTTTCTTTTTCTTGTTTTCTTTCGGTTTCTCGAGCTTTAGAGTTTCATCAAGAAAGGAAAGAAATGAGATTTTCCCGAGAAGGGGCCATCGAAGGGAAAAGTGTAATGCCGGCTTGAAAAACCCCACACCCAATCCAATTGGGAAGAAATAGGGAGAAAGCTCAGCTGAAAGGGAGATAAAAGGTGGAGGAGAGAAGACGAGAGTTAGTTAAAGAAACTTCAAAGTGTAACTGCTAATTAAAATTTTGGTTTTGGTCCTTACACTAATAAAAAATAATATATTCAGTTTTAAATTTTAATTTGACATTGTTCGATCTCCTAGTTTTATACTATTATTAATTAATCCAATTTGCGAAGATAATTAACAATCTGTGTAATATATCATTATTATGTTTTGAAATAAAATAAAAAAAACTATATTTATTATGATTAAAACAAGATATACTTATTTATAGCTCATCTTTTTTTATTAAAAAAATCACATCAAGGTCTTCAACGAAAATAATTAACAAGAAAGTTTGAACTCACTAATAATGTTTTAAAAGTAGAAATATAAAATTATATCCAAGTTAAATCTTAAATTTTAAGATAATAGGGGTCAATATAAGAATTTAACCACTTAAAAAACAGGTGCTGGGTCTTGATATTCCAAGCGAAACAGAAATGAAAAAATAGAAATAAATACCGAAGGTCAATATTGAGCTAGGGCCTGGAATCAACTTCTATTGGTGATTCATTTTATCAATTGTGTCACCTTAAAATCTTATTTTCCTTCTATATTCATGGTCTTGCACGGTATTAACTCGGTGTAAGTAGACTATCTTGATTTTCCTTCTATTGTTCAAAATCGACGTAGTTGCTATATTGAATGAGCAGAAGAAAAGCAGAGCAAAAAGGCATCAGTTTGTGTGTAAATGGTAAATTTACAACCATCAGTAATTGTTGGGACATTGACCTATCAACGACCAATTCAATGCTGTCAAATCAAGCTCTCACCTACTATATTAATCCAATTCTTCTGACTACACTCACCTTAACTGTTCTGTGCTTCACTTGTTTTCTTTTTCTTCTTTAAATATTTCGAGATTTTGGGTTTTATAATTTGATTCTCGAAATTTATAAGATGATACAATGGAAGCAGAGTTTCCAAGGTCTGATAACCCTGCCATGACATTCAACAAGGTTTCCTTGGAGCATAGCAAGAGTTTCGTCAAAGCTCTGCAGGTTCCTTTCTTCATTTCAATATTCTTTTGGAATCATTATGTTCATATTTGAGAGAAACCAAGATTTGTTGAATAAGGTAATATTATGTTATGTAATGTCTTGGAAATATCATATTAGAAGGAAATTGAAAAGTGCATGCATTTTGTTTCAAAGTTTGTCTTCAAGAATTTTTGTTCAAAGCTTTCCAGCAATTGGCCTGTGCCTTTTGCAGAAACTCAAGAACTTGAGGCCTCAGCTTTATTCAGCTGCAGAATACTATGAGAAGTCATATATCCATAGTGAACAGAAGCAGATGTAAGGATAAACTTAAAAAATTGTTGTTTGTTTCATTGATTGCTTGTGTGGTATCCTTTTCATTTTGATGGTAGAATAAAGCAATGCCTTGCCTCTTTGATTGTGCTTGAAATACTTGCTAGGGTACTGGACAACCTGAAAGAGTATGATGTTCAGCTCTTGTTAATGTTATTGGTCACCTTGGTACCGTGTCTTACAAGTTAAATGACCTTCTTGAGCAGCAAACATCAAAAGTGTCGACCATGGAGCTAAAAGCATCTTGTTTGAATCAGGGTAATCTCCTTGCACTTCCATGGTTCAAACAACGGTGTTGAATGGATGGACCTTAACTCGTTTAGTTTGTTCATATTAGCAACTTCTTACGTGCCAAACATACACGAGTAAACAAGGTCTCAATCAGCAGCAGTTGTTGACGTTTATCCCAAGACACCATAAGCATTACATTTTACCAAGCCTACTTGATTGAAGCTAATTTGTGGGTTGAAGTTTTAGTATGTTTTCTCATTACCTTCCGTTTTGATTCTATAAACAAGAAGGTTCATTTTAGTCCACGTGCAGACGGATTATAAGCAAAACTATTTCCAGGCTTCTCTTCTTCGACCTTCAGTATAATGCTACTAAGCTAGTCGCATTGCTTTTATTATACTTCCTCAATGGAAGGAGGCGAATAACATGGTACTTATTAAATAGAGAAAATCGCCTCAGTGACCAAAAAAAAGTTATAATATACGATTTTAACCAATTTTTTTTGGATTTGCCAAAATGACCAACAAAATCGCAACGCGAAATAAAAATCGCAACGCGATCCCCAGAATCGCAAATCAGTTTCCAAAATCGCAACGCGATTCTTGAAAATCGCAATGCGATAGTACAAATTCGCATTGCGATTTTCCAAAATCGCAACGCGAATATGAAAATCGCAACGCGAACACATAAATCGCAATGTGTATCCGTATATCGCAACGCGTATCCGTAAATCGCAATGCGTATCCGTATATCGCAACGCGTATCCGTAAATCGCAACGATAATCCGTAAATCGCAACGAGAATCTGTAAATCGCAACGATAATCCGTAAATCGCAACGAGAATCTGTAAATCGCAACGATAATCCGTAAATCGCAACGAGAATCTGTAAATCACAACACTGAAATTTTGGGTATATAACACTGAAATCATAAACTAAATCCCTAAATCGCAACTCATTCCATCTCCATCTATCACTCTCTCCGGCGACATCCGTTCCTATATCCAACGACATCCTTCCCAATCCGGCAACAGGTTTTAGTTTCGCAGCTCGTCTGTTTAGTAAATTAATTTACAACCATGAAATCATCTAATGTTGATCATGTTTGGATAGATTTGTGTTTTGGAGGGTCATGGGATAATGTTCATGGTGTTTTACAATATATGCCTTTACCCATGAATCTTCAACTAAAATTGTCTTTACAAAAGTTAACTTATGAAACTCTAATGCTACGTGTTTCAAATAAATTGAATTTAGAGCCCCTAAGTGGATTTAGGCTATCTTATCAGAGAAATGGTAAAGTTTATTTGTTAACCGACAATGAAGATGTTGAACTATTCATTGCTTACATTAGTGTTTCACAAGATGATGTTACATTGTATGTTGTTGAACCTAGAAGTAGTATTGTTGGGTCAGTAGCGGGTAGTAATCAACTAAGTTTTTCTCAAAACCCACAACCTTTCTCTAATCCAAATCCCAATCAACTTTCAGCACCAAATTCCGGTTTTCGTATTGACCAGTTAGACGATGATGAGCCAACAGAAAAAATTGTGAGTACTAGTCAGTATTCGAAATTTGCTCTTGGTCAATATCCGGACTTTGATATTGGTCAATACACGGATTTTGATGATGTTTCAGAAGAAGAAACAGACCATGTGTGTAATGATTTTAATATTGGTCAATACCCGAATTTTGATGATGAAACACCCGTTGCCGAGGAAGATGTTGTTGATGATAATGAGGAGGAAGTTACGACTGTGAATGAACATGTTGAACATCCATTCTGTAATTCATATAATCCTGAAGAAGAAAAAGAAGAAGAAAAAGTCCCCGAAGAAAAGAAAATGCCACGGGAGTATAACTGGAATATGCCAGAATTACTTCAGTTACCGGAAGAAGAGTTGGCAAAGAAAGCAGTTGATTGTTACACAAAAGTTATTCGTGTCAAGAAAGATGATTGTTTTGATACAAAGGAAGACTTGAAGATAGCTTTGTATACGAAATGTGTGGAAGATGGCTATCAACTAAAAGTTAACAAATCAAGCAAAGATCGTTTCGAAACAAGGTGTATGATTGACAAAAACTGTACGTGGCGTATGATTGCAAAGAGAATAAAAGATTGCAAAATGTTTCAAGTTAGGACTTTTATTGATAAACATACATGTTCAAGAACCCAAGTTTTTCCTCACCATAGACAGGCAAACAAAAAGGTGTTGGGTGGTTTTCTGGCTGAGTTAATGTTTTTGAATGGCAGGGTATATCGGGGACATGAAATTATGACTGACATGAATGCTCGGTTCAAGATTAGTATATCATATTCTCAAGCTTGGAGAGCCAAATGTTATGCCTTGGAATTGTTGAGGGGGTCGCCAGAAGCATCGTTTGCCCAACTGCCGGCTTATTGTCACAATTTAAAGCTGAAAAATCCTGGGTCGGTAACTCATATCAAAACAGATAGAGATGGACGCTTTGAGTTGCTGTTTATCGCCATTGGTGCTACGGTTAGTAAATCAATATAATTTTGTTGACTCATTTTTGTTAGTTACATGCATTTCACATTTAAATGATTATATTTCTTGTGTATATTATTTTGTAGATTCGTTCGTTTATTACTTGCATGCGCCCAGTTATTATAGTTGACGGAGCACATTTGAAAGGTCGATACCTTGGAGTAAACTTATTAGCAGTAGCCATGGATGCTAACAATGGGATATTGCCAATAGCTTACGGGGTTGGCAAATCTGAAACCTCTGATTCATGGACATGGTTTATGGGGCATCTTAGGGATTGCATAGGTCCTATTAGCAATCTGACAATCATATCCGATAGGGCAAACTCAATTGACAACGCTGTTAGAAGGTGTTTCCCAGATGCTTTTCATGGACTTTGTGGTGTTCATTTGTATAGAAATCTAAAATCAAGGTCTGCTGGTATAAAAAAGCACAAATGGACATACTGGAAGGCTGTAAAAGCTTATCGGGAAGTGGATTTCAATAAGCATATAAATTGTTTAAGACGTGTTTTGCCTCAGTGTGCTCAAACACTAGAAGATGTCGGGTTTGAAAGATGGTCAAGAGTACATCAACTTGGAGCAAGATATGGTTTCATGACGTCTAATAGTGCAGAATCAATCAACGCTCTAAGTCGTCATTCCCGGAAATTACCCATTACTATGTTAATGGAGTTTTTTCGAGCCTCTATTCAACAGTGGTACTACAAGAAAAGAAACCATGCAGGTATTATTTCTTTGAATTCGTAACTTATCATATTTATATATTTTACTAAGTATTGTTTATTTAAATTTACAGGAACATTGGAACATCGTGTTACACCATGGACTGAAAAAAAGATAACGAAACGTGTTGTGAAGTCAACGTCATGGAGAGTTGAACCATGTTCAAACACTTTGTTTCAAGTACTGGATAATAACTTAAATGGGCTAGTCGATCTAAATGCAAAGACGTGTAGTTGTATGAAATGGAAAACATCTGGTTATCCGTGTGGCCATGTTATAAAAGTTGCTCTTCATTTAAACCAAGATGATTCAAGCGCATACGCTATGGATTGCTACACTACAGAAGTTTATCAACAGACTTATACCGAGATTGTCTACCCTATTCCACATCCTTCTGAGTGGGACATACCAGATGACTTACAAACAGTTTTGCCACCAGCCATGGACAGAAGGCTACCTGGCCGACCAAAAAGTCACGATCGTATACCGTCTAAGGGTGAAGAGAAGAAGAGATCGACATGTAGTCGGTGCAAGGAAAGTGGTCATACAAGGTTGACATGTGGATCACCAGTGCCATCAAAATCATCTTTTCCTCTACCAAAATATGGATCCTCATCAAAATCCAAAGCTCATATGGTGTCAAGCAAAAGGCAATCATCTTTAAAATCCCAATCACAATTGGCTTCACCTTTTGGGACTGTTAACTTAGGTGATTTTTAAATGCAAACGTTGTATTATGTGGATTTTATGTGTGAACTTTTAACATTTTCAGTTGAATTAATGACTCAGTCCAACCATTTTGACTTAACCAACTCTTGTTATTCAGTTGTTATCACTTATTAGGCATGCATTTGACTATCGCAACACGGAAATTACAATCGCAACGAGAGAATCGCAATGCGAAATGAAAATCCCAACATGAAAATCGCAATGCGGAAATGAAAATCGCAATGCGAAATGAAAATCGCAATGCGAAATGAAAATCGCAACGAGAGAATCGCAATGCGAAATGAAAATCGCAATGCGAAATGAAAATCGCAACGAGAGAATCGCAATGCGGAAATGAAAATCGCAATGCGAAATGAAAATCGCATTGCGATTCTCTCGTTGCGATTTTCATTTCCGCATTGCGATTTTCATTTCGCATTGCGATTCTCTCGTTGCGATTTTCATTTCGCATTGCGATTTTCATTTCGCATTGCGATAGTCATTTTTGCCTTCAACATAATGCAGATTGAAATCAACAAAATCAACCATTACATTTCAATCAATTAAACAAGCACAAATAAGAATTATGTTCGCATCAATTACACAAATCAACTTTTACAAATCATCTTTTACAAATCAATTAAACAATCAAAAAATAAGCAATAATTCTTATTTCCGATCATATACTATTGAATCAACTTTTACAAATCAATTAAACAATCAAAAAACAATCAATTAAACTATTGAATCAACTTTTGCAGCTCGACATCATTTTCACGCAGTTCACTTCTGAGATTAACCTGCAGAAACCAAACATTTGTTCAAACAACACTTTCTACACATCTAAAACCTACAAACAGCAAATTATTGAATTCTAGGTACTTAATCAAACATTTTCAAACCAAAAGTATATAAACTTACCAATTGTTTATGGACATTTTTATAATGCGGATGCAGGTAGGCAG